TGTGGGTTTTCTGTTAATTGACTGTTTTTTATTTGTGCTTCTGTTTATTGTGGTTGTCTGTTATATTGGGTTGTCGTTTATTGTACTGTTGTTTTTGGGTTTGTCTTTATAATTTAGCTGTTTAAATTTTACGTCTGTTATATTGTACTGCTGTTAATTTTTTAGCTGTTGTTATATTTTTTGGGTGTTGTTTTAAATTGTAGCTGCTGTTTTTTGTGCGTCGTTTTTATGTGGTTGTCTTTATATTTTACTGTTGTTTTAATTTTGTGTTTATTGTACTGTCTGTATATTGTACTGTCTTTAATTTTTAGCTGTTATTGTACTGTCGTTTTAAATTTGGGGTTGTTATATTGTGCTGTTGTTTGTCTGTCTGTTTATTGTAGCTGTCTTTAATTGTACCGCTGTTAATTGTACTGTTGTTATATTGGCTGTCGTTTTTAATTGTACCCGTCGTTATATTGTATGATATTGTAGCTTCTATTATATTTTACCCGTCTTATATTGAGCTTCGTTATAATTTTGCTTCTGTTATATGTGCTTCTTTATATTAGCTGTCTGTTATTGTAGTTGTTGTTATATTTAGCTTTGTTATATTGTAGCTGTTGTTAATTGGTTTCTGTTATATTTTGGTTTTCGTTTTTATTGTGGTTGTTTTATTTGTGCTGTCGTTATTTGTAGCTGTCTGTTAATTGTACTGCCTTAAAAAGTCTGTCTGTTATATTGTAGCGTCTGTTATATTTGTAGTTGCTGTTATATTTAGGTTTTTGTTATATGAGCTGTCGTTATATTTGTTGTTTTAAATTGTATGGATGGTGTGGGGGGCTCCTGGGGAGGTATGGCTGGGGGGTGGCACCTGGGGATGGTAGGGACTTTATTTATTAATATTAGTTGTCAGGTGTGTGTTTTTATTGGTTGCAGTGCAACATGTACTTTTCGTGCAACCTGTGACGTTTTCAGTGCAAAACCCGTACTGTTGCGGCAAAACTGTGACTGTTGCAGTGCAACCGTGACTTTTTGGCAACACTGTGACTGTTGCAGTGAACATTGACTTTGCAGTGAAAACTTTAAAGTTGCAGTGTAAAAATGTACTGTTGCGTGCAACACTAACTGTTTGCAGTGCAACTGTGACTGTTGCAGTGAACACTGTGACTGTTGCAGTGTAAAACGGACTGTTGCAGGCAACACTGTGATTGCAGTGCAACTGGACTGTTTTAGTGTAACAGTGACTGTTGCAGTGCAAACTATGACTGTTCAGGCAACACTGTGAGTTGCAGTGAAACTGTGAGTTGCAGTGAACACGTGACTGTTGGTGTAACACTTGGGCTGTTGCAGTGTAACACGTGAGTTGCGTCAACACTGTGACTGTTGCGTGTAACATGTGATTTTCAGTGCAACACTGTGACTGTGCAGTGCACACTGGACGTTTTAGTGTAAACTGTGACGTTGCAGTGCAACACATGACTGTTGCAGTGCAAAACTGTACTGTTGCAGGCAACCTGTGATGTTGCAGTGTAACCTGGATGTTGCAGGCAACACGGGACTGTTGCATTCAACAGGTGACTGTTGCAGTCAACACTGTACTGTTCAGGAAACGTGACGTTGCATGCAAACGTCTGTCGGGAACACGTGACTGTTGCAGTGCCACTGTATGTTTTCAGGCAACACTTGACTTTGCGTGCAACACTGTGACGTTGAGTGTAACACGGGGACTGTTTTCAGTCAAACCTAGATGTTGCAGTGCAACACTGATGTTTCAGTGCAACACTTGACGTTGCATGAAAAATGTGACTGTTGATGCAACACTGGATGTTGATCAAAATGGACTGTTGCAGTGTAAAACGTAGTTGCGTGCAACACTAGACTGTTGCAGTGCAACACTGTGACTGTTCAGTGCAAACTGTGAGTTAGTGTAACACTGTGACTGTTGCAGTGCAACACTGTGGTTGCAGTGCAAACTGGACTGTTGCAGTGCAAACACTTGACTGTTCATGAACACTGGACTGTTGCGTGCAACACGTACTGTTTCAGTAAAACGTACTGTTCGGTAAATACGTTCAGTGCAACACTGTATGTTTTCATGTAACACGTGACTGTTCAGTGAACACTGTACTTTTTGCAGTGTAACACTGGTTTTGCAGTGCAACACTGTGACTGTTGAGTGTAACACTGTGCCCCCGTTGCAGTTAACACTGTGATGTTGCAGTGTAACCTTTCTGTTTCAGTGTACAAGCAATCCATTTAAATGTAAGGTAACAGGGGAAACAGTGTAGGTAAGGGGCAGTAGGTAATGGACAAAGGGTAATGGACATAGGGGAATGGACTGGGTAAGGACATAGGGAATGGACGTAGGGTAAACAGTGGGGATTGGGCATAGGGAATGGACAGTGCTAATGAACATAGGGTTTAAAGGACGTAGGGGAATGGGTATATGGAAAGGACATAGAGTAATGACATGGGGAAAGGGCATAGTCTAATGGGGGAAGAAAGGACATAGGGTAATGGCAGTAGTCTAATGACAGTGGAGGACAGTAGGGGAAGGACAGTAGGGGGAATGGACATAGGAAGGACATAGGGGAATGGGCAAAAGGGGGAAGGACATGGGTAATGGACTAGGGGAATGGACTATCTAAAAGGGGCAAGGGTAAACAAGGGGGAAGGACATAGGTAATGGGCATAGGGGAATGGGCACAGTTAAAAGGGCTAGGGGAATGGACGTAAGGGAAGGACAGGGTAATGCATACAATTTACAGTAGGGGAAGGACAGAAGGGGAATGGACAGTGGGGAATGGGCAGTAGGGTAATTTACATAGGGGGTGGACAAAGGGTATGGAATAGGGTAATGGGCAGTAGGGGAATGGGAATAGGGTAATGGGCAGAGGTAATGGGCAAAGGGAATGGACAGTAGGGGAAGGATGGTTAAAGGACATTCTAATGACTAGGGGAGGGCATAGGGGAAAGGGCTAGGGTAATAGACGTGGGGGAAGGGCAAGCAATGACTAGGGGAATGGACAAGGGGAATGACATAGGGTAATGGACTGTAATACGTAGGGGAAGGACAGAGGAATGGACATATCTTTTGGGCAGTAGGGTAATGGGGCATTTGTAATGGGCAGGTCAATGGACTATCAAAAAGGGCATAGGTAATGACAGTAGTCAATGGACAGTATCCCAATGGGCAGTAGGAAAAGGCATTAGTCTAATGGACAGTATCTAAAGGACAGTAGGGGATTGACATAGGGAAGGACATATCTAAAAGGACAAGGGTAAATTTAAGAAAGGGGAATGGACATATCTAATGGACAGAGGTAATGGACAGTAGGTAATGGGGCAAATTTAAGGACATTACTCAATGGACATATCTAATGGACAGTAGTCAATGGGCATAACCCAATGGGGCATAGTTAAAGGCATAGGGGAAGGGCAAGGGGAATGGAAGTAGGTAATGGGCAGTAGTCTAATGGGCAGTAGGGAATGGACATAGGGTAATAACAGTAGTCTAATGGACATGGTAATGGCAGTAGGGGAATGGACAGTATCTAATGGACTAGGGGAAGGGCAGTTCTAATGGACAGAGGTAATTACAGTAGGGAATGGGCATATCTAAAGGGCATAGGGTAATGACATAGGGGAATGAACATAGTTAATGGGACTAGGGTTTTACATATCAATAACATAGTCTAAAGGGCTGAAAAGGAAAGGGGAAAGGCAGAGTCTAAGGGCAGTTCTAAGGGCAGTAGTTAAGGGCATAGGTAAAGGGAAATAGGGGAATGGACAGTAGGGGAAATTTTCAGGAGGGAAGGACATAGGGTAAGGACAAGGGGAAGGGCATAGGTAAGGGCGAGTCAATGGAAATAGGGGGAATGGACTAGTCTAATGGACAATTTAATTGCAGTATCTAATTTAAGTCGGGAATGGACATAAGGGAAGACAGGGGTATGACATAGTGTAAGGGCAAGCAAAAGGGGCAGTATCTAATGACAGTGTCTAATTAAAAATCGGTAATGGACATAGTCAAGGGCATAGGGGAATGGGCATAGGGTAATGAACATATCTAATGGGCAGTAGGGGGAATGGACAGAGCTAAAGACGTAGTCTAATGGACATATCTTGGACATAGGGGAATGGCAGTGCTAATGGGCAGTACTAATGGACAGTAGCTAATGGGCATAGGGGAATGCAGTATAATGGACAGTAGGGTAATTTACAGAAGGAATGGACTAGGGTAATGGGCTGGGGAATGCATAGGTAATGGGGCAGTGTTAATGGGCATAGGGGAAAGGACAGAGTCAAAAAGGGCATTTAATTGACAAATCTAAATTACGTACGGGAATGGACAGTAGGGAATGGGCTAGGGAATGGGCAGTATGTAAAGGGCAGTTGGGTAATGGCATAGGGGGAATGGGCGTATCAATGAAAGTATCTAATGGGACAGTAGGGAATGGACATACTAATGGACAGTAGGGGAATGACATTAGGGAATGAAATAATGCGAATAATGGCGTAGTGTAGGGTAATGAAGTAATGTAAATAATGGGGGAAATAGTGTCATAATGGGCAGTAAAGTACATAATGGGGAAGTCGTAGGGTAATGGGCATATGTACAAATGGCAATGTTGGGTAAAGGGTAAGTAAGATAATGGAAGAGTGAGGGGTAAAGGGCAGTAAATTAAAAATGGGAAATAGGTAGGATAAGGGCGTAGTGTACGTAATGGCAAATAGGGAGGGGTAATGGAATAGTGTAGGACAATGGGGAGTTTGTAGGATAAAGGGCAATAAGTAAGATAATGGGAAGTAGTGTAGGATAAAGGGCATAGGGGAATGGGCATAGGGGAAAGGGCTAGGGAATGGGCAAAGGGGGAAGGGGATATAATGGGTAGGAAAAAAGGGGATTTGGGTAATGGGCTAGTTAGGGGAAAGGGCAAAGGGAAAGGGGCAACAGGTAAGGGGGGTAGGGGAATATCTAATAAGGGAAAATCGTTGGATAATCAACAATAACTGACCTTGTCAACAATACCATTAACCAAAGGCGATTCTCGACCTCCCTGGCTGGAAGAGTCAACAGAGTCCTTAAGTCCTGTCGTTGGGGACTCCACACCACTCCTGGAGTCCTTGTAGCCCTCCAGGCGGGTCCTGGAGGGAGAGTCCAAGTGACTACGCCCAGGAGAGTCCACTCGGGATCTACTGGGAGAGTCCACACGGCGAACTACCGAAGAATCAGTCTGTTCACTTCGACTGGTCGAGTCAGTTCGAGTACAAGGTTTGAGAGCTGCCGAAGACTCCGGCGTTAAGGTTGTAACTTCGCCAGAACAAACACTTGCATCACTTATGTATTCTTCGTCATTATGACGTACTAGACCATTCGTTATATTGTGATTCGTGTCATATTTACGTCGGAGTTCGGTGACTGAGGGCTGCCTATCCTCGCCGCTGCTGGAGGAACTGTCCTCCCGATTTTCACTGGAGGAGGAGGTGGTCTCCGGAGATGTCTTTCTGAAGGAGGATCTGGATGCTGCATCTGTATAGGTGGAAGGGACACGCCGCCGGGATGAACTACTATCCACATCCGTTAAGTAACTTCTACTTCGACTAGAGCCACTGGACAAAGCAGAATCCTTCAGTGAAGAGTCACTTTCGTGACCGGCTAGCAAGCCGCCACTTTCCCTAGCGGAAGTGCGCGTCTCGAAGACTTTTATGCGGTCGGTAAAGCGGACTTTCTCAGTATCACTGTTCTCATTAGCGTCATCTCTCTTATCTTTCTCACGGGCCTCCCAGCGGTAGTTACAAGCGTACGAAGATGGCGAAGGACCGAAGTGGCTAGTGTCGATACCGTTACCATTAACAGCGTCGACTGTGCGATCGCGGGACGTGAGGCGCGATCCGTAGCTGGAATCCCGCGAGGACGATGATTCTCTAGTAGCCGAATCTCGTGAGTAGCGCGAAGTGTACCGCGAGGAGGTCACTGGCCCTTCTAGTTGAGAATCAGAGGACAACCTCGAGTAAGTAGCCCTTACAGGCGACTGCCGCAAGCTGCGGCTACTGCGGTAAGTATCAGATGAGGAGGAATACGCGGGCCGTGGCGGTAGCGAATACTTGCTACCATAACTACTGCTGCTGCTGTAGTTACTGCTGCTGTAGTTACTGCCGTAGCTGCTGCTGTAGGATGAGCGATCCAGGGAAGTCGTACGCGATAAATAGGTGGACGGACTGCGATAGGATGACGGATAGTGAGCGTAGGATGGGTATCTAGTACCCACTGAGGGCGAGGATGGCGGCACAGGCATCCTTGTAGACTACAGCATCACCTGTGCTGCACTAGATGAAGGAAGACTCACTGCAGGATCACTGCTTCGCTAAGTGCTACTAGCAAGGCTACCGTGCTAGTGGAGCACACACTCAGGTGCTAAATCACAACACCTAAGTGTTTACACTGCTCTACACTTCCGGGAGTCACACACTGGTTCACTGTTCCAAGATCCTTACACTGTTTCACTGTTCCTAGATTCTTACACTGTTGGGCCAGCTCTAGATTCTTACACTGTTGGGCCAGCTCTAGGTTCTTACACTGCTGGGCCAGCTCTAGATTCTTACACTGTTGGGCCAGCTCTAGGTTCTTACACTGTTGGGCCAGCTCTAGATTCTTACACTGTTGGGCCAGCTCTAGATTCTTACACTGTTGGGCCAGCTCTAGGTTCTTACACTGTTGGGCCAGCTCTAGATTCTTACACTGTTGGGCCAGCTCTAGGTTCTTACACTGTTGGGCCAGCTCTAGATTCTTACACTGTTGGGCCAGCTCTAGATTCTTACACTGTTGGGCCAGCTCTAGATTCTTACACTGTTGGGCCAGCTCTAGGTTCTTACACTGTTGGACTGGCCTAAGATTCTCACAGTCACTATGATCCTCGATTCTTACACTGCCTCACTGCTCCTAGATCCTCACACTGCCTCACTGCTCCTAGATCCTCACACTGCCTCACTGCTCCTAGATCCTCACACTGCCTCACTGCTCCTAGATCCTCACACTGCCTCACTGCTCCTAGATCCTCACACTGCTCCGGCTACCGTCTACGCCAGGGCCAGGATTCAGATGGGATATGCGCCTTGATATACCCATCTTGCGGGTATACCAGCTGGCTAGATGAGAGAGCAGTGGCGCAGCAGTGGTGCAGAGGTAAGTAGAACAGTGGTGAGGGTGGACCAGTAACAGCAACAACGGCAGCAACAGCAGCAACAGCAGCAACAGGAGGGGGTGCTGGCAGCCACCACCACACTGCCAGATCTATATATAGCAAATCAGTCCACGGCTTGGCAGTTACTTTATACTCTGTAACACCTGTAACACAAGAAACACCAGGTTAACACCTGTAACACAAGAAACACCAGGTTAACACCTGTAATACTAACTCTAACACATGTAACACAACCTCTAACACATGTAACACAACCTCTAACACATGTAACAAAAGAAACACAAAGTTAACACATGCAACAAAATCTGTAACACATGTAATATAGCCTGTAACACAACCTATAAGACATGTAAAACAACCTCTAACACCTGTAACACAACCTCTAAAACATGTAACACAAAAACACATGTAACACAACCTCTAACACATGTAACACAACATCTAACGCCTCCAACACTAGGTTAACACATGTAACACAACATCTAACACCTGCAACACAAGGTTAACACATGTAACACAACATCTAACACCTGCAACACTAGGTTAACACATGTAACACAACATCTAACACCTGCAATACTAGGTTAACACATGTAACACAACAAGTAACACAACCTCTAACACATGTAACATACGAAACACTAGGCTAACACCTGTAACACCTGTAACAGATGTAACACAAGCTGTAATACATGTAACACAAGTAACATGTGTTACAGCTGAAGTTGAAGTCTGGGGTGTCCCTCAGACTTCAACTAGCACCTCAACTAGCACTGAGACTAGCACTGAGACTAGCACCTCAACTAGCACTGAGACTAGCACTGAGACTAGCACTGAAACTAGCACTGAGACTAGCACTGAGACTAGCACTGAGACTAGCACTGAGACTAGCACTGAAACTAGCACCTCAACTAGCACTGAAACTAGCACTGAGACTAGCACTGAAACTAGCACCTCAACTAGCACTGAAACTAGCACTGAGACTAGCACTGAGACTAGCACTGAGACTAGCACTGAAACTAGCACTGAGACTAGCACTGAAACTAGCACTGAGACTAGCACTGAGACTAGCACTGAAACTAGCACTGAGACTAGCACTGAAACTAGCACTGAAACTATCACTGAGACTAGCACTGAGACTAGCACTGAGACTAGCACCCCAACTAGCACTGAAACTAGCACCCCAACTAGCACTGAAACTAGCACTGAGACTAGCACTGAAACTAGCACTAAAACTAGCACTGAGACTAGCACTGAAACTAGCACTGAGACTAGCACTGAGACTAGCACTGAGACTAGCACTGAAACTAGCACTGAGACTAGCACTGAAACTAGCACTGAGACTAGCACTGAGACTAGCACTGAAACTAGCACTGAGACTAGCACTGAAACTAGCACTGAGACTAGCACTGAGACTAGCACTGAGACTAGCACTGAGACTAGCACCCCAACTAGCACTGAAACTAGCACCCCAACTAGCACTGAAACTAGCACTGAGACTAGCACTGAAACTAGCACTAAAACTAGCACTGAGACTAGCACTGAAACTAGCACTGAGACTAGCACTGAAACTAGCACTGAGACTAGCACTGAGACTAGCACTGAGACTAGCACTGAAACTAGCACCCCAACTAGCACTGAAACTAGCACCCCAACTAGCACTGAAACTAGCACTGAGACTAGCACTGAAACTAGCACTGAAACTAGCACTGAGACTAGCACTAAAACTAGCACTGAGACTAGCTCCCCAACTAGCACCCCAACTAGCACCCCAACTAGCACTGAAACTAGCACCTCAACTAGCACTGAGACTAGCACTGAGACCAGCACTGAAACTAGCACAGAAACTAGCACTGAGACTAGCACTGAAACTAGCACTGAGACTAGCACTAAAACTAGCACTGAGACTACCACTGAGACTAGCACTGAGACTAGCACTGAGACTAGCACTGAAACTAGCACTGAGACTAGCACTGAGACTAGCACTGAGACTAGCACTGAGACTAGCACTGAGACTAGCACTGAAACTAGCACTGAGACTAGCACTGAGACTAGCACTGAAACTAGCACTGAGACTAGCACTGAAACTAGCACTGAAACTAGCACTGAGACTAGCACTGAGACTAGCACCTCAACTAGCACTGAAACTAGCACCCCCAACTAGCACTGAAACTAGCACTGAGACTAGCACTGAAACTAGCACTAAAACTAGCACTGAGACTAGCACTGAGACTAGCACTGAGACTAGCACGTCATCTAGCACTGAGACTAGCACATCAACTAGCACTGAGACTAGCACTGAGACTAGCACTGAGACTAACACTGAGACTAGCACGTCATCTAGCACTGAGACTAGCACATCAACTAGCACTGAGACTAGCACTGAGACTAGCACTGAGACTAGCACTTCATCTAGCACTGAGACTATCACTGAGACTAGCACTGAGACTAGCACGTCATCTAGCACTGAGACTAGCACGTCATCTAGCACTGAGACTAGCACGTCAACTATACTGAGACTAGCACCTCAACTAGCACTGAGACTAGAACCTCAGCTAGTACTGAGACTAGCACCTCAACTAGCACTGAAACTAGCACTGAGACTAGCACCTCAACTAGCGCTGAGACTAGCACTGAGACTAGCGCTGAGACTAGCACGTGAACTACACTGAGACTAGCACTGAGACTAGCACGTCAATTAGCACTGAGACTAGCACGTCAATTAGCACTGAGACTAGCACGTCAACTAGCACTGAAACTAGCACTGAAACCAGCACTGAGACTAGCACCTCAACTAGAACTGAGACTAGCACCTCAACTAGCACTGACTAGCACCTCAACTAGCACTGAGACTAGCACCTCAACTAGCACTGAGACTAGCACGTCAACTAGCACTGAGACTAACACCTCAACTAGCACTGATACTAGCACCTCAACTAGCACTGAGACTAGCACGTCAACTAGCACTGAAACTAGCACTGAAACTAGCACTGAGACTAGCACGTCAACTAGCACTGAGACTAGCACGTCAACTAGACACAACAACAAGGGGACACAACAACAAGGGGACACAACAACAAGGGGACACAACAACAAGGGACACAACAAAAAGGGACACAACAACAAGGGGACACAACAACAAGGGAACACAACAACAAGGGGACACAACAACAAGGGGACACAACAACAAGGGACATAACAACAAGGGGACACAACAACAAGGGAACACAACAACAAGGACATAACAACAAGGGGACACAACACAAGGGGACACAAAAACAAGGGGACACAACAACAAGGGGACACAACAACAAGGGGGCACAACAACAAGGGGACACAACAACAAGGGGACACAACAAAAAGGGGACACAACAACAAGGGGGCACAACAACAAGGGGACCATCAACAAGGAACACAACAACCCAAGGGGACACAACAACAAGGGAACACAACAACAAGGGGACATAACAACAAGGGACACAACAACAGGGGAACACAACAACAAGGGGACCAACAACAAGGGACACAAACAACAAGGGGACACAACAACAAGGGGACACAACAACAAGGGGACACAACAACAAGGGGGCACAACAACAAGGGGACACAACAAAAAAGGGAAAACAACAACAAGGGGACATAACAACAAGGGGACACAACAACAAAGGGGAAAACAACAACAAGGGGACACAACAACAAGGGGACACAACAACAAGGGGACACAACCAACAAGGGGACACAACAACAAGGGGACACATCAACAGGGAACAAACAAAAAACAAGGGACCACAACAAACAAGGGAAACACAAACAACAAAGGGACATAACAACAAGGGGACACAAAAAACAAGGGGACACAGCAACAAGGGGACACAGGCAACAAGGGGACATAACAACAAGGGGACACAACAACAAGGGGACACAGCAACAAGGGGGCACACAACAAGGGAACACAACAACAAGGGGACACAAAAACAAGGGGAACCACAACAACAAGGGACACAACAACAAGGGGACACAGCAACAAGGGAACACAACAAACAAGGGGACACAGCAACAAGGGAACACAACACAAGGGACACAACAACAAGGGGACACAACAACAAGGGGACACAGCAACAAGGGGACACAGTAACAAGGGGACACAACAACAAGGGAACACAACAACAATGGGACCACAACAACAAGGGGGGCACAACAACAAGGACACAAAAACAAGGGGACACAGCAACAAGGGAACACAACAACAAGGGGACAAAAACACAAGGGGGACACAACAACAAGGGGACACAGCAACAAGGGGACACAGTAACAAGGGACAAAAACAACAAGGGAAAACAGCAACAAGGGGACACAGTAAAAAAGGACACAACAACAAGGGGACACAAACAACCAAGGGGACACAACAACAAGGGGACACAGCAACAAGGGGACAAAAGTAACTTGTACCTAGTTCAGCTATCAAAACTTGGGGCCCAGTCCCTGGACCCATTACGTACCCGTAATCTGTAAATACCTTTGTAAACTTTCATGATTGTGACCAGAAAATTACCTGAGTTTCATTACCTTTGTAAATTGTGAGTTCATTACCTTTGCAAATTGTGAGTTCATTACCTCTGTAACTTGCTCAGCTATCAAAACTTTGGAGTCCAGTCCCTGGACCAATTATGTACCTCTGTAATCTTTTGACTACCGCCCACAGGATGGGTATGGGGTGCATAATAAACATATTAAACTAACTAACTAAGTAACAAGGGGACACAACAACAAGGGGACACAACAACAAGGGGACACAGCAACAAGGGGACACAGGAACAAGGGAACACAGCAACAAGGGGACACAGCAACAAGGGGACACAGGAACAAGGGGACACAACAACAAGGGCACACAACAACAAGGGGACACAACAACAAGGGAACACAGCAACAAGGGGACACAGGAACAAGGGGACCAAAACAAGGGGACACAACAAAAAGGGGACACAACAACAAGGGGACACAACAACAAAGGGGGCACAGCAACAAGGGAACACAGCAACAAGGGGACACAGGAACAAGGGGACACAACAACAAGGCAAACAAAAACAAGGGGACACAACAACAAGGGAACACAACAACAAGGGGGCACAGCCAAGGGGA